TCAGCCTCCTTTTTCTCATTCACTCCTATCACAGGTTAGACTATTCGGGCATCGCGTTCCTGATCATGGGCAGTTTTGTACCGTGGCTGTATTACTCCTTCTACTGCTCCCCTCAGCCCTGTTTCATATACCTGATAGTGGTGTGTATCCTGGGGATCGCTGCAATCACAGTCTCGCAGTGTGATTTCTTCGCCACGCCACAGTACCGCGGAGTCAGGGCCGGTAAGACGCTGTCTCACTCTTTTGTTTAAGAAAAAAAGCAGACTGATCGGTCATCAACTAGTGGGTTTAGCTGCTGTATGTTTTAGATCAGAGTAGGCTACAATTTACTTCAAATCCTGATGTAACACGTCATAACCTCTAGGAGTAGTGTAACAGGAATGTCTCAGGGGAAAAAAACATCTAGCTTTCTGCCATTTGCCAGTGATGGGTGAATGGAGAAATTATTGGTCATAAAATGATATTTGCATTATTTTTATTGTTATTTTTACTTGGTGCTTAATGAGTGTTATTTTGGAGGTCTGGAAGTCAAGTCACCTTTATTTGTCATCGTTCAGTTCTCATACAACAGCGTCAGTATGGTCATATCAATAATATTGTTGAATACAATATTGTTGAGTGTCCCCAACTGAGCAAACCCATACATCAGGTTTCATCAAACCCAAATATCAGGTGACAGAAAAAAAAAACATTGAGAGACACCAGGCTCAGTCGGGGGCTAGTTCTCTTCTGGCCAATGAACGAAATTCTGTGTCATTATGATTCAGGCTGCATCACAGGTCAGAAATCAGATCGGTAGCATTCAAATATTCATCCAGTTCCTTTTGCTTGAAGATAGATTCATCACGCCGGTATGGAGCCAAAGCTGGCCATAGAGTCTCTTTGGAGGACCTGTCTGGTTCTCGTGGTCTTTGCTGAAGATCTGTGCCGACGGCTATCATGTAGACACGCCCTCTGCTGACATTCAGGGCTGCGTTTTGGTCGTGTCTAGGTGCAGGTCCACCATCTGATCTGGATATGGACCGGATCCGGCTGACTACGGTAACCTCGGGATAAGGATCAGACAGACGACAATTAGCGTAGATGCTATTCTTCTTACGATGTAACAAGTACATCAGGTGTTATGGGAAGTGTTCCTGGTTCTGGTTAACCTAATTTATGCAGCCTAACAATCATTTAATGATTTGAATAATGGAAATTGATCGTGTGTTATGTATATGCCAGGTTAAAGAGATGTGTTTTTAGTCTAGATTAAACTGACAGAGTGTGTCTGCTTCCCCAACAAGGCTAGGAAGACTATTTCAGTGTTTAGGTGATAGATTGGAAAAGGATCTACTGCCTGCAGTTGATTTTGATATTCTAGGCACCAACTGGCCTAAATTTTGAGATCACAATTGATGTAAAGGACTTTAATGCTTTAAGAGCTCTCTTAAGTACTGAGGAGCTAAACCATTTAGTGTTTAAGTAATTAGTTAGATTTTAAAATGTATGCGTTGTTTAATATGGAGCCAATGCAGTGTTGACAGAAACGGGCTAATATGGTCTTACTTCCTGGTTTTTAGTAAGAACTCCAGCTGGTCCAAAAACTATTTATTTATATAGAAACTATGTATTTCGTTAATTTTGTGAATTGGTATGTTTCGTCGGCACAAAGAAATATAATGTAATTACTTCTAGTAATATTGCATTACTAGAAGTGTCTAGTAATGCAATATAAACAGTTAAATTAATTCCTGCTCTGTCTTGTGTGTCTCAGGTGTGTTTGTGGGTCTGGGTCTCAGTGGAGTTGTTCCCACGCTGCACTTTATGATCACAGAGGGCTTCCTGAGGGCCACCACCATGGGTCAAATGGGCTGGCTGTTCCTCATGGCCGTCCTGTACATCACCGGAGCCTGCCTGTACGCCGCGCGCATACCCGAGAGATTCTTCCCCGGCAAGTGTGACATCTGGGTGAGTTGAATGTCCCTGAAAGTCATACACATAGTTTATAATACAAACTGAATGCCTTCTGTTTAAGATCTAACCTGTACCATGACATCATTTTGTCTACTGCAGTTCCACTCCCATCAGCTGTTCCATATCCTGGTGGTGGCAGGTGCGTTTGTGCACTTCCACGGTGTGTCCAACCTGCAGGAGTTTCGCTACACAGCTGGCGGAGGCTGCGCGGAAGAGGGCGGGGTGTGAGCCTTGTGTCCTGCGGTGCTTGAAACGCACCACTAGAGGGCGAGAACGTTCCTCTTACCTTTGCCGCCAATAACAGCTCTGTTCCTCCTGCCCATGAAGGGTAAACCAAGAGGACAGCACTGAATGACGAAGTTACCCACCTTTATTATTATTATTTTTCTCTTTCCGTTTTTGTTTCTCGATTTTTGCCCCTTGAATAAAATGAGTCATGGGATAAGGTGGACAAGTTGAGGATGGTGATTCCTATGATCATACATTTAGGAAGAGGAGAGTTTTTGGCTTGGTCTATTGCTGTTTTTTTCTTTGTACAAGAGAAAAAGTTGAACAGACAAAACTCAAAAAAAAAAAAAAAAACAACAACAACAAAAAAACAAGTGTGAACATTTCTTGGGGTGGGCCGTTAGCCATTTTAAACTTTTTCATGTAAATAAGATTTCTAAAATTTGGGTTATATAGATTTGTACGAAAATAAAGATATAAAAAGTTTTTAAAAAATATACATCATTATATTGTTTAACGGAGGGAAAAGAGAGAAGGTGTTATTCCAGATCAGTAAAAAGCCACAGTTTAAGTGGACAGATGAAGCGTCAGGCAGAAGCGGCCTTCCAAATGCCTCCGTGTGCCGTTATCCGAGCACGGCCGGTAAAAGCTATAATAAAAAAGCTCACCTGTAGGACAGTAGAACACCTTGTACCCGATGGAGCCGCCAGGATTCAGTGCTCACGTACTGCACGTCCTTAAACACACAGAAGGCCGCTTTCCCAAACTCCATTGTTTCCATCTTTAGTTACTTTCTCTCTTTCTCTCTCTGTTCTGTTTGTTCCCGTTTATTCATCTTTGTGGATGTTGATTCAACCTGGTTTGAAAAAAGAAAATAATAATAGATGAGACTTGCTGTTGTGAAGTACACAAAATCATACTCAAGCAGTGCAAGGATGCGTTTGTTGTGTAACGTTCTGTTTCATCATCTGTATATGATGTAATTTATTAAGAGTTTTCATGGAAACATTACGAGCTGTAATATTCCACATTAAACAAGGGCAATGTTTGTTTTCTCAGAGATTTTTACATTGATATTTATTTTAATTTTAAAATAAATTAAAAAAAATTAAAACACTCATAACAGTTGTTGTTCGTTTTTCTTTCTACTGTGATTAATTATTTTGTGCAGCATCAAATTAGTGATTTTAAACTGGTTCCAACATTTAAATCACAATCTTTTTTTTTTCCATTATATTATAATACACATTTTACTAGTGAGCTTTTTTTGAGGGCTCTCAAAAGTGTATTTGCTGCCTTTCACATTAGAGTTCAGGACAGTTGCTAGACTTCAGCACTTCTAATAAGTATTATTGACATCATAATTTCCTGTTGCTAAGGTAATCCGTCATTAGACATTTGCAGCTCAGGTAATTGGCTCAAATCAACCTGATATACCTGGAAAAGCCCAACTAATGATTTGCACAGTCATGACCTGAAAAGAAAATGCTCAAGTAGTCTAACCCAGTGGTTCCCAATCCTGGTCCTGGGGACCCACAGCTCTGCATACTTTTGAGTGTGTAGCTAAAGAGTAGGCAAGGTTTGGGACATACCATCACGTCATCTTTATAACAAAGTTTAAGTTTTATGAGCTCAAATGGTCGCCTTGCTCTGTTCTGTGATGCACGTTTGTGACTGTCCTGTTCGAACTCGTTTATCAAAATGAATGAATCTTTTTCCAAGTCAATTCGTTTGTTTCGTTCGTTCAATGAACCAAATGACTCGAAAAAAGATTAGTTCATTTTGATGAAGGAGTTCGAACAGGAGAGTCACAAACGTGCATCACAGTACAGAGCAAGGCGAAGATTTGAGCTTATAAAATGTAAACTTTGTTATTTATTTATTAATTGAGTGATTGTTTCGCTTGATGAGACCCGTATTCATCGTCTGGAATCGTTTAAAGCCCATTGAACAGTTTGCTGTTTGCACTGAAAGTGTCTTTTGGACCTTGAACCGTTTGGTTCCCATTGGAGTCCATTATATGGAGAAAAATCCTGGAATGTTTTCATCAAAAACCTTAATTTCTTTTCGACTGAAGAAAGAAAGACATTGACATCTTGGATGACATGGGGGAGAGTAAATTATCAGCAATTTTTTTTTTTTTTCAAAAGTGAACTACTCCTTTAATGGGAACTCTTTCAAGGATTATTTTACATAGATGTTATTTCAGTCAAACACCAGTGCTATCTTTTTGTGTCCAGAGGAAAAGGAGCAATTTATATATGAGCATTAAAGTTTCAGGTTTATTGTATTTATGAAGCACATTTAAAACAACCTTGGTTGACCAAAGTGCTGTACAAAATACAGCTATTTAAAACCATTCAAAAAAGTAAAAACAACTTTTACAAGACATTAAACCATGGGCGTAATTTCCTATGGGGACAGGAGGGACATGTGGGCCGGGGACGCTTCGGAAAACCCATGAACCACTCCACCATGTCCAGCAGGGGCTATGCTTCCTGATGCAAATATTTTGTGCTAAATTTAACACAATAAAGCCACAGATCTTGATAACAAGTTGCGTATCGAAACATCCTTTAAAAAAAAGAAAAAAAAAAGTCTTAATTTGCAATGGTGTAATTCATACAAATCACCACAGGAGGGCGCAACACTTTTATGTTTATTAGACTTGATTTGCAACGGTGTAATTCACACAAATCACCACAGGAGGGCGCAACACCTTTATGTTTATTTATTTAGCAGAATGACAGAAACCGAAGCGCAGTTTTCATCCGTTCCACTAGGCGGCGTGAGCGGGCATCACTGTCAGAGCGACTCCTTCGGGTCCTTGGCAACATTGACGCTTGTTGATGACAGACGCTACAACATGTGCACATGACAGCCACACAACTGGACATATTTCAGCAAATAAACCGACATACAGTCCGATAACATGCGGGAATTGAGTGTCATTTAACTTCTCGGTAAGTAACTTTGCACATAAAGTGAATTTCTTTTGTAAAATGATATCGCGACGCTTAATGTTTTGTATAATTGTATTTTTTCACTAATGAATCGTCCTGCTGAAATGTCATGATAGCAGAGCTTGTCAGTTCATGGTGTCTGTAAACTAATTGTTGTTTAAGTTTGTTATGAAAGCATTCGCGTCTTCTATAAAAAGAGAAAAACTCTTTTTAGAGTATTTTTTTCTAAACACACACTAAGACCTTCAGAAGGGAAAATTAATCGGGTGTTGCTTTACATTTATAATCAGAATAATAAGGGATGCTGTTTTTATTTTTTATTTATTTTCATGCTGTTGTTGTTATTGTAGTCTTACTGTAGGTAATATACTGGATTAATGTTTGTTAATAGTCAGTTGCTCTGATGTTTCTGCTGCTTCATGCTTGTGTAGAGCTCAAGTGATTTTACTTCTAATGAAAACCATCATACATACAGTCCAGAACAGAACAGAACAGGGTTAAAACCGTGTGCAGGAAACCAGCCTTTTAGGATTATTGTAAATTTAAAACTTAAGCTTGTCCCAATTATGGTTCAATCACGGAAGCTACACCAGTTATTTTGTCAAGAGATTTCTTGTTTATTTTTGTGTTACATTGATGTGTCATTGCACACAATACTTCTATGCAAGCTAAACTATAGCTCATCCCTAATCTCTCCTCAGCAAACGTATACAAACACACTCTGTTTTCTCAAAATATAATTTAAATAATTTTATACTTTTAATGTATTCAATTTCCTTCTATTGACTAGTCTTTAGACTAATTTTCACATTCTCATTTATAGATGTAGAATATATAATATAGAGTATTTCTAAAACTATCTTTTTAATCTTAAAAAAAAGATTAAAACTTTTTTTTTCATGTCTTTCCTTACAGAAAGAATGTGTTTGGACCATTACATCCAGTCATCAGAAGCAGAGCTGTGGGACGTGTGGACAGACATTGGCTGTAATGATGGACGTCTGCTGATGGACAGGTAATGTAAATGCTTGTTTTACTGTACTAAACATGTAGGTTCCCATCATTTTCTTTTTGAAGGGCCAGTCCTTTGAAAAGCAAATGATGGGAACCTAAGTAGGTGGGGAAGGGACGGCGGTCAAATTTTTTTTTATTGCCATTTTCATTTTTTCCAGTCAAAAGCATAACCCCCTCCTGGACATCGTGCGGGAGCTCAGGGGGGGACCCCATGATCCCCCACACCTTCTCACTCGCACCACAGCATTCACTCATATCGCGGAGATCTGGCTGGACTCGAACCAGCAACCTCTGAACCCGTGAGGCAGCGCTCTTACCTGTGAGCCACAGATCTCTTGCTGATGATGTGCTGGAACTTATATTTCAGTGTTATCCTGAGAGTTTCCAATAAAGCAGTTAAAGTGAGATTCGAACCCACGTCTTCATCAGTCTTGTCCTTAGAGAGTGTGTGTTTATCCGCTCGCCCATCATGGATTTCACGTTGACAGCTGGTTTTGGGGCCCCTTGTCTAATGAGAACTATTGAAAGTCAGCAATAGTGGGACTTGAACTCAGGACACTGTGATTGAAACACAACTCTTTCTCTCCTGAGCCACTGAGACTGCTGAGATGAAGAGCATTTTCAACCGGTTTGATCCAGAGTTGTGTGTTAAATGATGAATAACTTTAACAAACATGGATCTGAAACCTGGGATTTGAACCAGGACTGTCTGGTTGGTGAGGTTGACAACTATCCACTGAGCCGCAGAGACTGTGAATCAATGATGTTGTTTTAGATTTCAAGTTTAAAGTTCTTAACGTATGTAAAAGATTATTGTCATTGATTAATAATTCATTGACTACTCAGATCTATTCTCTATAAAATGATTTTATTTTTAAGTTATTCTTTGTATCAACTGTATCAGTGTGCGTGTTGTGTCCTATCGTCTGTCTATATAAATATACATGCAAAAAAAGTCAGATCTAAAATTATTTTCGCCCTGCTGTGGTGATTTGTGTGAATTACACTATTGCAAATCAAGTCTAATAAACATAAGAGTGTCGCCCTCCTGTGGTGATTTGTGTGAATTACACCGCTGCAAATCGAGTCTAAAAAACATAAGTAGTGTGCCCTCCTGTGGTGATTTGTGTGAATTACATATAGAGAGTAAAAGAAAAGTGGTGATTGTGTGAATCACACCGTTGCAAACCGAGTCAGATCGAATCTAAAAAACATAAGTGTTTCGCCCTCCTGTGGTGATTTGTGTGAATTACACCGCTGCAAATTTCTTCTGTCTTCTCTGTTCTGTCCTTATGTTAAAATACATACATACATAACGTTACACACACACACACATATATATATATACAAAAAACTAGACTTTCTCATTCAAAGGAAATCATTATTTTCTGCACCACAGAGCTTGTCAAACATGTTGCTGCTGTAATTTCACAGGAACTTTAATCCAAAGTCTCAGATGTGATCCGACGAGAGTAAAGTGCAGTTTTCCTCCGCTCCTCAAGGCGGCAGAAGCGGGTTCTCCTTCAGTCTGACGCTTCTGCTGCTTGACAACATGACACTTGATGACAATCACAACAACGCGAGCAGATACTGCAGATAGGAAGATGACAGCTCTTAATGTCACTTTAACAGCACATATTACAGCTCAACCGCAAATAAAACCGACGCAATCAAACGACACATAAATGAGGAACCGAGTGCGGCACAAGACTCACCTGTAAGTAACTTTTACTTTAGCATGAAGTCAAGTTCTCTTGTCAGTCGCTATTGTAGCGTTACCTTTTTAATCTTTGAATGAATCGCCCTCTGATATTCACACTGTAAAGTGTAATAAGAAGGACTCAGTTGATATTGCAGTGTTTTATGGGTGTATGTGAGAGTCAGCAGGAGTTGTGTCTTGTGTGAAGCTCTGATGTTCTCCTGTTGCTTCCTGCTTTTATTCTACTTCCTGTTATGACTGGGATCTGAGAGTGAAAACTGCCTTTAGAATGGTATGCAATTAAAATGTCACAGTATTACTACAAGCATGAAACAATACAAGTAAAGAGCAGTGACTAGACACTTTGCAATTGGTTTTCTTTGCATAGCATTTCTAATATTGTTCTGATGTTTTGTAGGTTTGGCTTTCTGTGAATGGGGAGTTAGTTTTTAGTTCTGTGTGTTCAGTGTTTTTATAATTGTGTGTGGCCTGTAAGACAGTGATTAAGTTGAATCTCTAGTTGTTGTTACATGTATAAGATTCAAATGAATCGTCCTCTGATTTATGTGTAGTGAAGTAGAATAATAAGCAATTGTTTCTAGTCTCTTTTGTTATTAGTTGTCTTACTTTATGTAATAATAATCTAGTGGATTGATGCGTGTTAATAGAATCAGTTGATGTGTGTGTGAGTGTGTGAAGTGTGTGTCTGCTGCTTGTATTGTATCGTAGAGATGCAGTGCCTTTCTTCTAATGAAAACTATCAGGATCAATCCTTGTGCAGGAACATGTCTTTTAGGGTTACTGTTGTGTGAAGGAAGGTTTCATCTTAAAGTTATAACTCCACTTGGGCAGTTCTTTACAGTGTACATGTTTAAGCATCAAGCGTCAGCGCTCGCACCGAAGGCTTTATTTCTATTCAGTGTTTGTGTCCATTTGTAGCCTGTAAAACTGTAATTCAAATCATAGATTATTATTGATACAGCCTTACTGAACTATACTATATTATTATAATAGTAATATATTTTCACACTGTACAACTTTAGGCTTTTAATTTATTCCACTTTCCTTTTATTAACTAGTCTTTAGACTAACTTTCACATTGTCATTTATAGATGTAGAATATTGAGTATTTCTAAAACTAATCTTTTTTTTCTTGTCTTTCCTTACAGAAGGAATGTGTTTGGACCATTACATCCAGTCATCAGAAGCAGAGCTGTGGGACGTGTGGACAGACATTGACTGTAATGATGGACTTCTGCTGATGGACAGGTATGTACATGCTTATGTTTTACTGTACTAAACATGTAGGTTCCCATCATTTTCTTTTTGGAGGGTGACCCCTTTAAAAAGCAAATGATGGGAACCTAAATAGGTGGGGAAGGGACGGCGGGGCAAAATTTTTAGACAGCTAAATTTTTATTGTATAAAAAAGCATAACCCCTGCTGTCCATTGTGGCGGGGCTCGGGGGGGGACCCGAATCATCCCCGCCCCTTCACACATACAGCATTCTCTCGTATCGCGGAGATCTGGCTGGGATCGAACCAGCAACCTCTGAACCCGTGAGGCAGCGCTCTTACCTGTGAGCCACAGATCTCTTGCTGATACATGTGCTGGAACTTATATTTCACTCTTCGAGCCCTGCGATTTTACAATAAATCATGCTGAGGTGGGGATCGAACCCACGTCTCCAGTGCAACCCTTCAGCCGAGATCGTGTGTTGAGCCACTGCACCACTGTGGCTTTCACACTGAGATCTGGTGTTTTGGCCACTTTGTTTGATTTCATCACATCAATTTTGCGCTCAATTCTCATTTACTAAAGGAAAGCCTTTGTGCTTAACTGTTCACACACTCATATCGCAGAGACCCGGCTGGGATCGAACCAGCAACCTCTGAACCCGTGAGGCAGCGCTCTTACCTGTGAGCCACAAATCTCTTGCTGAGACATGTGCTGGAACTTGTATTTCAGTGTTATCCTGAGAGTTTCCAATAAAGCAGTTAAAGTGAGATTTGAACCCAATAGCTTAGCTGGGATTTGAACCTTAACTTCAGCGCACCCTTACCTTCACAGAACATGTATTTAACCACTGCACCACTGTGGTTTTCACTCTGAGAACTGGTGTTTTGTCCACTTTGTTTGATATAACAACTATTGATAACAATTTTATTTAAATTATGGGGACCAAAAATGCTGAGATGGGATTTGAACCTTAACCTCAGCGCATCCTTACCTTCACAGAACATGTGTTTAACCACTGCACCACTGTGGCTTTCACGCTGAGATTTGGTGTTTTGGCCACTTTGTTTGATAAAACAACTATTGATAACAATTTTATTTAAATTACTGGGACCAAAAATGCTGAGATGGGATTTGAACCTTAACCTCAGCGCATCCTTACCTTCACAGAACATGTGTTTAACCACTGAACCACTGCGGCTTTCGCTTTGAGAGTTGGTGTTTTGGCCACTTTGTTTGATAAAACAACTATTGATAACAATTTTATTTAAATTACTGGGACCAAAAATGCTGAGATGGGATTTGAACCTTAACCTCAGCGCATCCTTACCTTCACAGAACATGTGTTTAACCACTGCACCACTGTGGCTTTCACGCTGAGAGTTGGTGTTTTGGCCACTTTGTTTGATAAAACAACTATTGATAACAATTTTATTTAAATTATTGGGACCAAAAATGCTGAGATGGGATTTGAACCTTAACCTCAGCGCATCCTTACCTTCACAGAACATGTGTTTAACCACTGCACCACTGTGGCTTTCACGCTGAGAGTTGGTGTTTTGGCCACTTTGTTTGATAAAACAACTATTGATAACAATTTTATTTAAATTACTGGGACCAAAAATGCTGAGATGGGATTTGAACCTTAACCTCAGCGCATCCTTACCTTCACAGAACATGTGTTTAACCACTGCACCACTGTGGCTTTCACGCTGAGAGTTGGTGTTTTGGCCACTTTGTTTGATAAAACAACTATTGATAACAATTTTATTTAAATTATTGGGACCAAAATAGCTTAGCTGGGATTTGAACCTTAACCTCAGCGCATCCTTACCTTCACAGAACATGTGTTTAACCACTGCACCACTGTGGCTTTCACGCTGAGAGTTGGTGTTTTGGCCACTTTGTTTGATAAAACAACTATTGATAACAATTTTATTTAAATTATTGGGACCAAAATAGCTTAGCTGGGATTTGAACCTTAATCTCAGCGCATCCTTACCTTCACAGAACATGTTTTTAACCACTGCACATCTAAACGCAAGAAGAAGTAGGAACAGAACCGGCAACCACTCGCTTCAGAGCCGGTATTGCTACCACTGAGCCACTAAAGACGACACTGTGTAGAAAGCTATGCTGCATACGCCCCCATCAGTAGTGCATAGATATATGCAGCATAGATATAGAACAGTGCTATATCTATGCTGCATATATCTATGCATGATATGTATATATCATGTATATATCTATGCTGCATATGTCTATACACTAATGACGCTGGAACCTGGGGGCGCCAAGTCCCCGAATTCTCCGCGAATTCCCCGCGAATTCTCCGGACTTGGCGCCCCCCTCATTAGTGCATAGATATATGCATCATAGATATAGCACTGTTCTATATCTATGCTGCATATATCTATGCACTACTGATCTATGCACTACTGACCAAAACACCAACTCTCAAAGCGAAAGCCGCAGTGGTTCAGTGGTTAAACACATGTTCTGTGAAGGTAAGGATGCGCTGAGGTTAAGGTTCAAATCCCATCTCAGCATTTTTGGTCCCAGTAATTTAAATAAAATTGTTATCAATAGTTGTTTTATCAAACAAAGTGGCCAAAACACCAACTCTCAAAGCGAAAGCCGCAGTGGTTCAGTGGTTAAACACATGTTCTGTGAAGGTAAGGATGCGCTGAGGTTAAGGTTCAAATCCCATCTCAGCATTTTTGGTCCCAATAATTTAAATAAAATTGTTATCAATAGTTGTTTTATCAAACAAAGTGGCCAAAACACCAACTCTCAGTGTGAAAGCCACAGTGGTGCAGTGGTTAAACACATGTTCTGTGAAGGTAAGGATGCACTGAGGTTAAGGTTCAAATCCCATCTCAGCATTTTTGGTCCCCATAATTTAAATAAAATTGTTATCAATAGTTGTTTTATCAAACAAAGTGGCCAAAACACCAACTCTCAGCGTGAAAGCCGCAGTGGTTCAGTGGTTAAACACATGTTCTGTGAAGGTAAGGATGCGCTGAGGTTAAGGTTCAAATCCCATCTCAGCATTTTTGGTCCCAGTAATTTAAATAAAATTGTTATCAATAGTTGTTTTATCAAACAAAGTGGCCAAAACACCAACTCTCAAAGCGAAAGCCACAGTGGTGCAGTGGTTAAACACATGTTCTGTGAAGGTAAGGATGCGCTGAGGTTAAGGTTCAAATCCCATCTCAGCATTTTTGGTCCCAATAATTTAAATAAAATTGTTATCAATAGTTGTTTTATCAAACAAAGTGGCCAAAACACCAACTCTCAGCGTGAAAGCCACAGTGGTGCAGTGGTTAAACACATGTTCTGTGAAGGTAAGGATGCGCTGAGGTTAAGGTTCAAATCCCATCTCAGCATTTTTGGTCCCATAATTTAAATAAAATTGTTATCAATAGTTGTTTTATCAAACAAAGTGGCCAAAACACCAACTCTCAGCGTGAAAGCCACAGTGGTTCAGTGGTTAAACACATGTTCTGTGAAGGTAAGGATGCGCTGAGGTTAAGGTTCAAATCCCATCTCAGCATTTTTGGTCCCATAATTTAAATAAAATTGTTATCAATAGTTGTTTTATCAAACAAAGTGGCCAAAACACCAACTCTCAGCGTGAAAGCCACAGTGGTGCAGTGGTTAAACACATGTTCTGTGAAGGTAAGGATGCGCTGAGGTTAAGGTTCAAATCCCATCTCAGCATTTTTGGTCCCAATAATTTAAATAAAATTGTTATCAATAGTTGTTTTATCAAACAAAGTGGCCAAAACACCAACTCTCAGCGTGAAAGCCACAGTGGTGCAGTGGTTAAACACATGTTCTGTGAAGGTAAGGATGCGCTGAGGTTAAGGTTCAAATCCCATCTCAGCATTTTTGGTCCCAATAATTTAAATAAAATTGTTATCAATAGTTGTTTTATCAAACAAAGTGGCCAAAACACCAACTCTCAGCGTGAAAGCCACAGTGGTGCAGTGGTTAAACACATGTTCTGTGAAGGTAAGGATGCGCTGAGGTTAAGGTTCAAATCCCATCTCAGCATTTTTGGTCCCCATAATTTAAATAAAATTGTTATCAATAGTTGTTATATCAAACAAAGTGGACAAAACACCAGCTCTCAGAGTGAAAACCACAGTGGTGCAGTGGTTAAATACATGTTCTGTGAAGGTAAGGGTGCGCTGAAGTTAAGGTTCAAATCCCAGCTAAGCTATTGGGTTCAAATCTCACTTTAACTGCTTTATTGGAAACTCTCAGGATAACACTGAAATACAAGTTCCAGCACATGTCTCAGCAAGAGATTTGTGGCTCACAGGTAAGAGCGCTGCCTCACGGGTTCAGAGGTTGCTGGTTCGATCCCAGCCGGGTCTCTGCGATATGAGTGTGTGAACAGTTAAGTCACACACATTTTAGTAAATGAGAATTGAGCGCAAAATTGATGTGATGAAATCAAACAAAGTGGCCAAAACACCAGATCTCAGTGTGAAAGCCACAGTGGTGCAGTGGCTCAACACACGATCTCGGCTGAAGGGTTGCACTGGAGACGTGGGTTCGATCCCCACCTCAGCATGATTTATTGTAAAATCGCAGGGCTCGAAGAGTGAAATATAAGTTCCAGCACATGTATCAGCAAGAGATCTGTGGCTCACAGGTAAGAGCGCTGCCTCACGGGTTCAGAGGTTGCTGGTTCGATCCCAGCCAGATCTCCGCGATACGAGAGAATGCTGTATGTGTGAAGGGGCGGGGATGATTCGGGTCCCCCCCCCGAGCCCCGCCACAATGGACAGCAGGGGTTATGCTTTTTTATACAATAAAAATTTAGCTGTCTAAAAATTTTGCCCCGCCGTCCCTTCCCCACCTATTTAGGTTCCCATCATTTGCTTTTTAAAGGGGTCACCCTCCAAAAAGAAAATGATGGGAACCTACATGTTTAGTACAGTAAAACATAAGCATGTACATACCTGTCCATCAGCAGAAGTCCATCATTACAGTCAATGTCTGTCCACACGTCCCACAGCTCTGCTTCTGATGACTGGATGTAATGGTCCAAACACATTCCTTCTGTAAGGAAAGACAAGAAAAAAAAGATTAGTTTTAGAAATACTCAATATTCTACATCTATAAATGACAATGTGAAAGTTAGTCTAAAGACTAGTTAATAAAAGGAAATGGAATAAATTAAAAGCCTAAAGTTGTACAGTGTGAAAATATATTACTATTATAATAATATAGTATAGTTCAGTAAGGCTGTATCAATAATAATCTATGATTTGAATTACAGTTTTACAGGCTACAAATGGACACAAACACTGAATAGAAATAAAGCCTTCGGTGCGAGCGCTGACGCTTGATGCTTAAACATGTACACTGTAAAGAACTGCCCAAGTGGAGTTATAACTTTAAGATGAAACCTTCCTTCACACAACAGTAACCCTAAAAGACATGTTCCTGCACAAGGATTGATCCTGATAGTTTTCATTAGAAGAAAGGCACTGCATCTCTACGATACAATACAAGCAGCAGACACACACTTCACACACTCACACACACATCAACTGATTCTATTAACACGCATCAATCCACTAGATTATTATTACATAAAGTAAGACAACTAATAACAAAAGAGACTAGAAACAATTGCTTATTATTCTACTTCACTACACATAAATCAGAGGACGATTCATTTGAATCTTATACATGTAACAACAACTAGAGATTCAACTTAATCACTGTCTTACAGGCCACACACAATTATAAAAACACTGAACACACAGAACTAAAAACTAACTCCCCATTCACAGAAAGCCAAACCTACAAAACATCAGAACAATATTAGAAATGCTATGCAAAGAAAACCAATTGCAAAGTGTCTAGTCACTGCTCTTTACTTGTATTGTTTCATGCTTGTAGTAATACTGTGACATTTTAATTGCATACCATTCTAAAGGCAGTTTTCACTCTCAGATCCCAGTCATAACAGGAAGTAGAATAAAAGCAGGAAGCAACAGGAGAACATCAGAGCTTCACACAAGACACAACTCCTGCTGACTCTCACATACACCCATAAAACACTGCAATATCAACTGAGTCCTTCTTATTACACTTTACAGTGTGAATATCAGAGGGCGATTCATTCAAAGATTAAAAAGGTAACGCTACAATAGCGACTGACAAGAGAACTTGACTTCATGCTAAAGTAAAAGTTACTTACAGGTGAGTCTTGTGCCGTACTCGGTTCCTCATTTATGTGTCGTTTGATTGCGTCGGTTTTATTTGCGGTTGAGCTGTAATATGTGCTGTTAAAGTGACATTAAGAGCTGTCATCTTCCTATCTGCAGTATCTGCTCGCGTTGTTGTGATTGTCATCAAGTGTCATGTTGTCAAGCAGCAGAAGCGTCAGACTGAAGGAGAACCCGCTTCTGCCGCCTTGAGGAGCGGAGGAAAACTGCACTTTACTCTCGTCGGATCACATCTGAGACTTTGGATTAAAGTTCCTGTGAAATTACAGCAGCAACATGTTTGACAAGCTCTGTGGTGCAGAAAATAATGATTTCCTTTGAATGAGAAAGTCTAGTTTTTTGTATATATATATATGTGTGTGTGTGTGTGTAACGTTATGTATGTATGTATTTTAACATAAGGACAGAACAGAGAAGACAGAAGAAATTTGCAGCGGTGTAATTCACACAAATCACCACAGGAGGGCGAAACACTTATGTTTTTTAGATTCGATCGGACTCGGTTTGCAACGGTGTGATTCACACAATCACCACTTTTCTTTTACTCTCTATATGTAATTCACACAAATCACCACAGGAGGGCACACTACTTATGTTTTTTAGACTCGATTTGCAGCGGTGTAATTCACACAAATCACCACAGGAGGGCACACCACTTATGTTTTTTAGACTCGATTTGCAGCGGTGTAATTCACACAAATCACCACAGGAGGGCACACCACTTATGTTTTTTAGACTCGATTTGCAGCGGTGTAATTCACACAAATCACCACAGGAGGGCACACCACTTATGTTTTTTAAACTCGATTTGCAGCGGTGTAATTCACACAAATCACCACAGGAGGGCACACTCTTATGTTCATTAGACTTGATTTGCAATAGTGTAATTCACACAAATCACCACAGCAGGGCGAAAATAATTTTAGATCTGAGTTTTTTTGCATGTATATTTATATAGACAGACGATAGGACACAACACGCACACTGATACAGTTGATACAAAGAATAACCTAAAAATAAAATCATTTTATAAAGAATAGATCTGAGTAGTCAATGAATTATTAATCAATGACAATAATCTTTAACATACGCTAAGAACCTTAAACTTGAAATCTAAAACAACATCATTGATTCACAGTCTCTGCGGCTCAGTGGATAGTTGTCAACCTCACCAACCAGACAGTCCTGGTTCAAATCCCAGGTTTCAGATCCATGTTTGTTGAAGTTATTCATCATTTAACACACAACTCTGGATCAAACCGGTTGAAAACGCTCTTCATCTCAGCAGTCTCAGTGGCTCAGGAGAGAAAGAGTTGTGTTTCAATCACAGCATCCTGAGTTCAAGTCCCACTATTGCTGACTTTCAATAGTTCTCATTAGACAAGGGGCCCCAAAACCAGCTGTCAACGTGAAATCCATGATGGGCGAGCGGATAAACACACACTCTCTGAGGACAAGACTGATGAAGACGTGGGTTCGAATCTCACTTTAACTGCTTTATTGGAAACTCTCAGGATAACAGTGAAATATAAGTTCCAGCACATCATCAGCACGAGATCTGTGGCTCACAGGTAAGAGCGCTGCCTCACGGGTTCAGAGGTTGCTGGTTTGATCCCAGCCAGATCTCCGCGATAGGAGTGGATGTTGTGTGAGTGGCGCGCCCAAAGGAGGGGGATACCAGTACGGTCTCCCCCCGGAGCTTCCGGGACAGTCAGCAGCAGGGGTTATGATTTTTGGAAACAAGGAAAAAAAATATTTTTTTTTTATATAAAAATTTCGCCTCCTCGTCCCTTCCCCACCCGCTTAGGTTCCCATCATTTGCTTTTCAAAGGGGGAGGCCCTTCAAAAAGAAAATGATGGGTACCTACATGTTTAGTACAGTAAAACAAGCATTTACATTACCTGTCCATCAGCAGAAGTCCATCATTACAGTCAATGTCTGTCCACACGTCCCACAGCTCTGCTTCTGATGACTGGATGTAATGGTCCAAACACATTCCTTCTGTAAGGAAAGACAAGAAAAAAAAGATTAGTTTTAGAAATACTCAATATTCTACATCTATAAATGACAATGTGAAAGTTAGTCTAAAGACTAGTTAATAAAAGGAAATGGAATAAATTAAAAGCCTAAAGTTGTACAGTGTGAAAATATATTACTATTATAATAATATAGTTTAGTTCAGTAAGGCTGTATCAATAATAATCTATGATTTGAATTACAGTTTTACAGGCTACAAATGGACACAAACACTGAACAGAAATAAAGCCTTTGGTGCGAGCGCTGACGCTTGATGCTTAAACATGTACACTGTAAAGAACTGCCCAAGTGGAGTTATAACTTTAAGATGAAACCTTCCTTCACACAACAGTAACCCTAAAAGACATGTTCCTGCACAAGGATTGATCCTGATAGTTTTCATTAGAAGAAAGGCACTGCATCTCTACGATACAATACAAGCAGCAGACACACACTTCACACACTCACTCACTCACACACACACACACACACACACACACACACACACCAACTGATTCTATTAACACGCATCAATCCACTAGATTATTATTACATAAAGTAAGACAACTAATAACAAAAGAGACTAGAAACAATTGCTTATTATTCTACTTCACTACACATAAATCAGAGGACGATTCATTTGAATCTTATACATGTAACAACAACTAGAGATTCAACTTAATCACTGTCTTACAGGCCACACACAATTATAAAAACACTGAACACACAGAACTAAAAACTAACTCCCCATTCACAGAAAGCCAAACCTACAAAACATCAGAACAATATTAGAAATGCTATGCAAAGAAAACCAATTGCAAAGTGTCTAGTCACTGCTCTTTACTTGTATTGTTTCATGCTTGTAGTAATACTGTGACATTTTTAATTGCATACCATTCTAAAGGCAGTTTTCACTCTCAGATCCCAGTCATAACAGGAAGTAGAATAAAAGCAGGAAGCAACAGGAGAACATCAGAGCTTCACACAAGACACAACTCCTGCTGACTCTCACATACACCCAGAAAACACTGCAATATCAACTGAGTCCTTCTTATTACACTTTACAGTGTGAATATCAGAGGGCGATTCATTCAAAGATTAAAAAGGTAACGCTACAATAGCGACTGACAAGAGAACTTGACTTCATGCTAAAGTAAAAGTTACTTACAGGTGAGTCTTGTGCCGTACTCGGTTCCTCATTTATGTGTCGTTTGATTGCGTCGGTTTTATTTGCGGTTGAGCTGTAATATGTGCTGTTAAAGTGACATTAAGAGCTGTCATCTTCCTATCTGCAGTATCTGCTCGCGTTGTTGTGATTGTCATCAAGTGTCATGTTGTCAAGCAGCAGAAGCGTCAGACTGAAGGAGAACCCGCTTCTGCCGCCTTGAGGAGCGGAGGAAAACTGCACTTTACTCTCGTCGGATCACATCTGAGACTTTGGATTAAAGTTCCTGTGAAATTACAGCAGCAACATGTTTGACAAGCTCTGTGGTGCAGAAAATAATGATTTCCTTTGAATGAGAAAGTCTAGTTTTTTGTATATATATATATATATGTGTGTGTGTGTGTGTGTGTGTGTGTGTGTGTGTGTGTGTGTGTGTGTGTGTGTGTGTAACGTTATGTATACGTATTTTAACATAAGGACAGAACAGAGAAGACAGAAGAAATTTGCAGCGGTGTAATTCACACAAATCACCACAGGAGGGCGAAACACTTATGTTTTTTAGATTCGATCGGACTCGGTTTGCAACGGTGTGATTCACACAATCACCACTTTTCTTTTACTCTCTATATGTAATTCACACAAATCACCACAGGAGGGCACACCACTTATGTTTTTTAGACTCGATTTGCAGCGGTGTAATTCACACAAATCACCACAGGAGGGCGACACTCTTTTATGTTTATTACACTTGATTTGCAACGGTGTAATTCACACAAATCACCACAGGAGGGCGAAACATTTCTAAGTTAATTTAGACTCGATTTGCAACTGTGTAATTCACACAAATGACCACAAGAGGGCAAAACACTTTTATGTTCATTTAGACTCGATTTGCAACGGTGTAATTCACACAAATCACCACAGGAGGGCGAAACATTTTTAAGTTTATTTAGACTCGATTTGCAACGGTGTAATTCACACAAATCACCACAGGAGGGCGAAACACTTTTACATTCATTGGACTTATACACACACACACACACATACATACATACAAAAAAACTAGGCTTTCTCATTCAAAAGCAAATCATTATTTTCTGCACCACAGAGCTTGTCAAACATGTTGCTGCTGCAATTTTACAGGAACTTTAATCCAAAGTCTCAGATGTAACTAATGTAATTAAACTTTAATTTAACTGCATCATCTCCACTGTCTCAGTGGCTCAGGAGATAAAGCATTGCATTTCAATCACAGTGTTCTGAGTTCAAATCACACTATTGCTGACTTTCACTTGTTCTCATTAGACAAGGAGTCCCAAAACCAGTTGTTGTTGTAAAATCCATGGTTGAGTGGATAAACACTCTCTGAGGACAAGACTGTGATGAAAACATGGGTTCAACTCTCACTTTAACTGCTTTATTGGAAACTCTCAGGATAACACTGAAATATAAGTTCCAGCACATGTCTTGAAAGATATCTGTGGCTCACAGGTAAGAGCGCTGCTCACGGGTTCAGAGGTCTCTGTGATGGGAGTGTGTGTGAGCAGCAGGTGCTTGAAGGAGAAGGAACCAGTACAGTCTCCAATGGTGTAATTCACACAAATCACCACAGGAGGGTGACACTCTTTTATTTTTTATTACAATTGATTTGCAATGGTGTAATTCACACAAAAATCAGGGCGCAACACTTATGTTTTTTAGACTGAAATTCCGCAACGGTGTAAAATTCACAGCAAAAATCACCAACAGGAGGGCGACACTCATTTAGTTTATTCACTTGATTTGCAACGGTGTAATTCACACAAGATCACCACAGGAGGGCGAAACATTTC